AGATTGAACTCAGGCCTTTGTGCTTGCCAGGGAAGCATTTATTCTACTGAGCCATCTCCCTGCCCTCAACAATAATTCTTATATAAAACCATGAAATTTATGGGATGCAATGAAAGTAATCCTTTCATTGTGAAAATGAGGGAAATTTATAGTGATAAATACACACATGAGGAAAAGAGAACAAGCTCAAATGAACAATCTAATGTTGAACTTCAAACTTCTAGAAAAAAGAACAAATCAAACCCAAATTTTCAATAAGGGAGGAAATTATGAAAAGCATAAATTATGCAATAAACTAAGAAAATAATACAAAGAATCAATGAATCAAAAATTGGATCATTGAAATAAATAAACTTGATAAGCCTTAATCAAACTCATCATGAAGAGGAAAGAAAAAACACAAATCTAATCAATCAGGAATGAAAACAGGGAAATCAGCACAAATTCCACAAAAATGCAGACCATCAATACCTATTATGAGAACCTATATTTTAATAAGATAGAAAACAGAAGAAATGGACATATTCCTACACACAAACTGCCAAAATTGAAAGAAAAAGATAAAAAACATTCTAAATAACCAATATTAGTCAATGAAATTGAAAATGTAATTAAAAAGTTAGCAATGAAAAAAAAAAAAAAAATCCCAGACTCTTGAGGGATTTGTTGTTGGATGCTACAAGAAATGTAGAGAAGAACTAATGTCACTAATGCTGAAATTCTTTAAAGAAACTCAAAGCGAAGCAATACTTCCAAAATTCTTCTTATAAGCAAGTATTACCTTGATTCCAAAACCAAAGAATGTAACCAAAAAAGAAAAGTACAGGCCAATCTCCCTAATAAACAATGATGCAAAAGTCCTTATGCTGATACTGGCAAAGAGAATAAAGCAACAGATTATACATCATGACCAAGTAGGATTTATTCCAGGAATGTAGCGACGGTTCAACGTATGGGAAATCAATAAATCTAATACATTAAGTTAACAGAATTGAAGACAAAAATCACATGAACGGGCCAGGGAGACAGCTCAGTAGAAAAAGCACTTGCCTGGCAAGCACAAGGTCTTGAGTTCAATCCCCGGTATTGGAGGAAAAAAAAAATCACATGAGCATCTCAATAGTGGCAGAAAAAGCATTTGACAAAGTCCAACACCCATTCATGAAAATGAAAAAAAAAAAAAAAAAAATCCCTACAAAATATTGGAATAGATGGGCCTTACTTCAATCTGGTAAAAGTCATCTATGATAAACCAACTGTCAGCATCTTACTAAACGGACAAAAACTTATAGCTTTCACTCTAAAATCAGGAACAAGACAGGATGCTTATTATCATCATGCATATTCAGTACACAAAGAAACATTGGCCAAAGCAATTAGAAAAAAGACAAAAAAAAAAAATAAAGATAGGAAAGAAAGAAGTTACATTATCATTATTTGCAGATGACATGATATTCTACACAGAAGACTCCAAAAACTTCACCAAAAAGCTTGTAGATTTAATATACAAATTCACTAGTTCATTAGGATACAAAATCAATGCTTAAAAAATCAATAGCACTCCTGTACACAAGCAACAAACTCACATAAACAGAAATTAGGAAAGCACACCTTTCACGATAGCAGCTAAAAGTTAAAATACTTAGGAATAAATCTAACCAAGGATTTGAAATATCTGTGCAGTGAGAATTACAGTACACTGAAAAAGATTAAAGAATATATCAGAAATTAAATTTAAAAAAAGAAAAAAGAGGATATGAGAAAATGGAAAGATATCCCTTGGTACTGAATAGGAAAAACCACAATACTGAAAATGGCCATACCCAAAATTGCTATGCATATTTAATGCAACCCCAATCAAAATATTGTTAGTATACTTCACAAATCTTAAAAAAAAAAAAAAAAGAAAAGAAAAAAACATCCTTAAAGTCATTTGGAATCAGAAGAAACCTAGAAGAGCAAAAACAGTTCTAGGCACCAAAGGCAAGTCAGGGAGCATCACATTCCCAGAAAAAAAAATTATACTACAAAGGTACTGTGATAAAATCAGTATGGTACTGGGGGAAAAAAAAAAAAAACAGGTCAAAGGATCAACAAAACATAATTGAAGATACAGAAGCAAACTCAAACACACTCAGTCACCTTATCTTTGACAAAGGAACCAAACAAGTTCATTGGAAGAAAGAGTGTCTTTAGTAAATAGTTCTGGAGTAACTGGCTAACAATCAAAACAAGACCCATGTCTATCACCATCCACTAAAGTCAAAATGGATCAAACATCAAAGTATTAAAACAGGAAAAACCCTACTAAATCAATTGGAAGAGAAAGTAGGTAGAAATCTTGAAGACACAGGTGTAGACAGAGTTAATGAACAAAAAAAATACTGTACAGGAAATACATCAAAGAATTAACAACTTGGACCTAATCTTATTAAAAGTTTGTACATAACCAAAAAAATCACCAACATAGGGCTAAGACAACCCAGAGTGGGAAACAATGACAGTCAGTTGTCTCTTAAAGGACTTATATCTAGAACATATAGAGAACTGAAAAAATCATGCTCCCAAATCAAAGACCCAGTTCAAAAATGAGTATCTGATGGGCACACTTCTCAGTTGAAGAAATACAAATGGCAAACAAATATATCAAAAAATGTTCAACATCACTGGTCATTCACGATATACAAATTAAAACAACACTGAGATTCTATGTCACCCCAGAAAGAATAACTGTCATCAAGAAATTGCCAATTACAAATGCTGGACAAGCTATGAGGAAAAAGGAACCCTTCTCCACTGTTGGTGGGAGTATACAGCTGTGTAACTACTGTGAAAATCAGTGTGGAGATTGCTTAAAAAACTAGGAGAGGGCTGCAGAGACAGCTCAGTGGTCTAAGCACCTGCCTAGGTAAGTCCACGCACCCAGGTTCAATCCCAGGTACCACATACCATGCCAACCCTGCCCCAGGCATGCCAATCCTGCCACTAAGACCAGGCATGGCGGCACATGCCTGTAATTCCACAGTTGGGAAGGCTAAGACAGAAGAAACACATGAGTGCGAGCTGCATAGTAAGACCCTGTAGCAAAAACATAAATTTAAAAATTAAAAAACAAAAAACAAAAGAACTAGGATTAGAGGTCCCATGCAACTCAGCTATTCTCCCTCAGCTTTAATTTTCCTGGAAGAATTAAATACATCATATCACATACCATATGTGCACCTATGTTTTTAGCAGCCTAATTTGGAATAGCAAGATCTTAGAAACAATCAAATGCCCATCAACCATGGGATGGATAATTTTTTTTTTTTAATATAATGAAGTACCACTCAGACATAAAGAAGGATTAACTGAAGACTTTTATAGGTAAATGGATGTAACTTGAGACCACAGTCACAAGTGAAATAAATCAGACCCATATATATATAAACATTGTATTGTCTCAGTAGCGTAAGAAATGGAACAGATACATAAGATTCAAATTGTACAACAGATATTGTGAAATGGGAAGAAACTGCAAACAAAAGACAAACTAATGGGATAAAAAGGAAAGGAAGAAAAGGCAAAAATATACATGTACAAGATAGTGAAGACAGTCATACAGCTAGTTTCTCTTAGTTCACTGTAAAGAAAAGTTTGTGATACTATTGTTTGAACAAGGTATCGTTCCTGTATTTTGTACTGAGTAATTACAATGAATACAACAATGTGCAATGTATTAATTATTGTATTTATCCTACTAACTTGTTTTGAAATTGTTTTATCATTATTTTTATTTTTTCTCTTTAAAAATAAAAAACTAACCAAATAAACAAACAAAAAAACTAAATTGTCCAATTGTTCCCAACTTTAAAAAAAAAGCACCAATATACCTCATGGATAAAATAAGACTGCATTTATAGCTATAGATTGACTTGTATATCAACAATGTTTTATGATAAATTATTATATAAATAAATTCAACAAAGTAAAAAAGTAAATACAGGCAGAGGCATACAATATATAAAGTTAGGTGAACAGCATGCATCTACTGATAATTTTAACTGTATTATTAAATTTAGTTATTAGATTTCTGCCCACCCTCTAAAAGAAATACAATCATAGGGTAGTTTTCTTCAAAATAATACTGCTTCTTCTTCTTTTTTGTTTTTTGGTGGATGGTGTTGTGTGGGTTTGAGAATGGGAGTTAATCACATTCCCTGGCATTAATTCTAAGAACTTCATCATGTGGATCCTTAAGAAATCCCAGTAACATCACAGAGAAGCATGCAACAGAGGCCATCAAAGAGAAGCAGTAAGAAAGCTTTTGAATCATAATTCGAAGAGGATACCATTTTTAAAGACAGGGCGATCACCTGGCTTACTCAGGGAAATGCACATGTTTTATCCTCAGGTAAATATTAATAGTCCCCCATTCCATTCTCAGAGGAATCCAAGATTGGATAATAATTAGGTGGTCACCTTCATTTAGGGGGAACTGTCTGGAAATGAAACTTAATAGCAACAATGTTTTATAGAATGAAGTCCTTTATAAACAATTCGCCAAACTTCAAGAACTGGATGACAACAATCTAAATTAAAAGAAATGATAAAATATCCAAAACCATTGCAATAATACTACGGACTCACACTTAGAATTGAAAGCAATTCTTCAGTACTGCATTCAGGTTTCAAACGATCCTTGAACATTTTAACTGTTTGGTGCTTCAAATAGTAATAGGAAGCAATTCGGCCATATGTCAGAGGCTCAATGCTCCGATTATCCTATTTCAAAAAAATGATAAAATACGTAAGTAAAGAAGTGGAGTGGAGTCACATATTTTCATATAATTATGACGCATACTACCGGTTGCTACTGTGATCATTTTGCTACAAAACTGGTATCACCAGAAGCAAAGGTTCTATTGTTAGCTGGGCAATTAGAATTTACATGATTAAGTTGTACCTCTCCAATTTCAATACAGTATGAATGTTCCAATTCAACCAGGGACTTCTCAATCAGATGGGACAGAAACTTGTTCACAGAGTCATGGCTCACATCACCCAAATTGTAGTAGCTAGAAAACAAGTAAGGTTATTAGTTACTTTAAAATAAATTATACTAAAATTATCACCTCAGTTTTCAGTCTACTCAGAATTTCAAAACTGCTGAATTACATTTACATTATATCAAGGAAATAAAGCGTTGTAGTTACTATTCCTGTTTTACAGATCAAAAGCCCAATGAAATGATAATATATTGAAAATACAGAAAGCAATTAAAATTATTCATTATACTAAACAAAATGAGGTTTCTTATGTCAAAATTGGTTATTCAGCTTATCTACAATTAAAATTATGCACTGACTTCATAAATATCAAGTATGTATAAAAATGTATAAATATATGTATATATACATGCAGGTGCAATTGGTTTTTATTAAGAAACTTATTCTTACTATTTTGTAAGACTCAAAGGACTATTTATTTAGGTGGATAAATGAGTTCTTTTGGGCAATTCAGTCAATTAATATTCTCCCACTACTTAAAGAATAAATGTCATTCTAGTCACTTTGAAGGGACACTAAAGTACCATGTCTAAAGCATTCTTACTGAGTTTCAATGTACAAAAAATAGATGGGTTCAGCTCTGCATGTTGCCTAAGTTAAAAGCCCAAGGACAGGCAGTACATCTGAATGCTCTTCCCTGCAACTCCAAGTTCTTCTCAAATTCCCATGATCACTTACAGTCTTCCTGGGATGAGATCCAAGGGCTAGGTGGCATACAATCATGACAGCCTTGTAATCTCTACCAAGTGAGCAGTGTACCCTGCTTATACAGGGCATTTACACACCCTACCTCCCCACTCCTAATCCAAGTCAGTAAAGAACAGGAGTGCAGAGTAGTCTTGGGACTGCCAAACAGGTTCTCATCACTAAAGGCCCACTACAGGACTTTTACAACTCTACAGACTGGAAAGGGATATTTATAGTTGGGGAAGAGGGTTGAAGAGGCTAACAAGAAACTATAACCTGACTGCTTGGGGATTTTTTTTTTTCCTTCTTGGAAGGAAAAGATTTGGAGACAGTATATAACAAAAAATATTTAAAAGCACAAGAAGTCAAGCTTAAATCATGTGAGGATGTGTTTTCATTTGAAAGATGTTAATTGTAAATGGCTAAGTGTATCCAAATATTAGGGTCTTCACTAAATAATGATTAATAAGGTACCAGAATTTATTTGGAAAATAACTTTTCATAAAAAAGGATTAGATATTTTTAGTTATGGAAATATTACTGCCTTTCCTAAAGTATTTTTTATGAAATGAAATAATGTAAATTTACCAATGAAGAGATAAATATCTCACTAATCTAAATTTTCAAACTGATGTCCAATTAGGGCTATATCAAATTTCAAGTCCACCATTAGAAATCATTAGAAAACATTTCTTTTATCCTAGAAGATCAGTAGATAGAGTATTTAGTTAGAATATGCTTTTTGCTTTAGAGATAAAAATAAAATTTGTGGACATTCAAAGTCCCATAAAAAAGGAGCCTCAAATCCACCCCATATTACTAAAAATGTTTTCTCATTCTTTTCCCAACAATGAAATTCCCCAGTCAAATTTTGTATAGAACATATGCTTACTTTGCATTTACATACTTTGTTTGCTACCCATAATTTTCAACATTATTTGCAATGGTCTGGAATAACACAGTTAATAAGGTCTTTCCTACATTGAAAACATTATAAACATATGATCAAGATAATGTAAGAGCAGACCACAGCATAAGAATCAAAAACTCACCATGTAATAAAAAGCACAGTAAGTATTACCATGAAATAAAAATTAGCATTTGACTTTTATGTATAAATTTATTAGTGTTTTGAAAAACAAATTTCATAAATGCTGCTGCTGCTTAGTATAAGACATCAACAAAAAAGGAAAAAGCTGTAGTATATATATGTACCCACTACTCCCAAAATGAGTATAAATTGCATGTTCTGAAAACATGTACTAATATAATTTTTAAAACATTAAAAAGACATTACAGAATACCGATTCTGTCATTTTATACTTTAAAAAATTGGTCTGGAATACTTGCAATTAATTATTCCCTCAAAAACTGATTTTTAAAAATACTTTATTTAGTTTTGTTTGCTGTATTTTACTTTACCTTATTCACCAAATTTACAAAATGTATTTTAATGGATTAATATATTCCTTTCAAAGTTTTTATAATTTAAGTCCATTGGGAATCTTTTTTTTTTTTTTAAAATGTATTCGGTAGAGGGTTTCACTATCAGCTTGGACTCATATTGATCCTCCAGTTTTCAGCTTCCCCAGCACTGGTGAGCCACCACGTCTGGACTCAGTGGCTGCCGGACGCACCTGATGCGGAGCCAGTGTGGCATGTGGTGCCTGGGATGGAATCTCAGACCCTGAGCTTGCCTAAGCAGGCACTTAGTCCACTGAGCTACCTTGCCGGCCCTCCCTTGGATGTCTTCTAAATGCTAATATGTGGCTTTCATCCAAATGAAACATCATCAGTGTAAACATTTCTTAAATATTTGAAATAAACTGCCAAAAAGAGGAATAATACCCCTACTACAATTAACTTACACTACAACAAATGATCTGATGTTTCACTAAAATGCTACTCATAATGTAATCGGCTAAAAATCAATACATTTCTTGGAGCAGAATGACAACAGCAACAACAACAAAAAAAAACTGTCATGGATAGTTATTCTTGGTTTTTCTTTCTAAATTTATAGCAACATTCCTGATTCACAGAAAAAAAAAAAATTCAAGTACAAAATGTCACTGATCTTTACCAAATTTCTTTCTTTGCACATAGGGACTGGAGGGTATCATCATTTAAAACATCCTAAAATCCTTATAAAAGTGCGATTTTGTTGAAGTTTGCAAGACATTACAAAACAATAAAATTAAATGTTAATTCAATTTTTGTAGAATATATGAAATTTTAAGAGTAAATATATTTTCCTGGGAATTAAGGAAGGAGTTTAGATTTATACATTTCGTATTAATAGCATAATTTGGCCTTCCTTTGTCTTAATTGAACTTTTCAGTTACTGTGCAATTTGTAGCCTGAACAAGTAAAAGCATTTGGCTTAGAACATTATCATTAATTTCAACAATCATTTTATTAACTTAAGAAAGCACGCACCAGCTAAATAACACAGTCTGTTTTCATGTTGTACTTTCCACAGTATAAAATATATAATTTAGTGGTTATTTAAACAGAAATCTTACATAAACTGCTTAATCACAGATAAATGATACAATGTAGTTTCAGGCTCACTGCATTGAATCATCAAGTCATTACCTTTCCTTTACTATAAACAGACAGCCTACCTTTTTGTCAGCATGCTATTTCATTTATTTCACAGAGAAACCCAGTTTCACAATAATTGACTTGTCAGAAGCTTTAATTTATGAGACTGAGCTCTGTAAGATTTCTCTGTATTGGACTCAACCTGCACACAAGCAGGGTTGAATATTTACAATGCTGTTAACAGGTGCTGAGTTGTTTAATGATTCTAATAGCCAGAAGCGTCCTGAGCAAGCCAGCGGGATCACAATTACAGGCTGTTTGAACACAACAATTACTAGTCCCCAGAGAGGTGTGAAAGTCAAAGGCAGTTTGATACTGACAGCATCTAGCACATGGGCTAGACATGCTAACTTCTATTAGCAGTCCATTGGGAAAAAGTCATAACAAACCTTTCCCTATCATAAAAATTTATAAAGTTCATAAAATTTAAGCAATCAAAAACTAAAACAACTTTTAAAAATTATGTCTTAAAAACCCTGACTAAGGATAAACAAGAATAGTACTTATGAAACCTTAAGTTATCTTTTTTCAACCTTAACAGATGAAATTTCACTAGTTGGGAATGAAAGAGGTTTTATTGTAATGTAAAACACAGATAAAATTACACCAAACAGTTTGAATTTAATGTGAATAGTAGCAGTCATTTCCTGTTTGGTTTATGTAAACCTGGCTAGATATCTTGTGGAGAAATTTTTCATCAGTATTGAAACGCTGCTGCTGTAACTGTCAGTCTTGGGAAGTCATTTGTTACAGCACTGTGTTTTTTATGTTCAGATTATGCAGCAGTAATCATGACACAAATAATGAAAGTGTTTGCAGGACAGCTGAAACTACCACAATATTTTCATGCTAGAAACATTTAAAAGGTTTCTCAGGGGAAAAACAGAATAAAACTAAAAATACTAATTGAATCTAGAACTCAATTTGGAATATATTATAGTTTATGAGAGAATCAGCCTGTGTTTATATACATACATTTGAACAAGCAAATGTATATATGTAGTGTGTACAAATAAGTTCATAAATAATCATATATACTTATATGCATGGATATGTATTCATATGTATGCAACATGTACACACAGAGGGAATATAAATAGACATATAGTTAGCAAGCTAAGAACAATGGGTGAAATCTATCAACATTAGTTCTATTGTTGGTGTGGTGTGATAGAGCTGTACAATAGTATGGTTTACTGAAGGTGGTTAAAGATTTTTGCGTGTATCTATGTATAACTTTATTTTGAATGTAGTCTTTTTTTTTTCTATAGTTAAATAAATCTGTGTTAAATCTTTATTATACATACATCTAAGTGGGCAAGCTTGTATATGTTCCCCTTCCACCCTAAAGATGTCTAATCACAGTTTATGGTACTAGATTTTAGGACATATTAAGAGAAAATAAAATTGCATACTGTATAAAGTCTTCAATTAAGACAATGACTTTGGCCTCCCCAAAATTTCCACTAGATCTAAAAATAAGGAGTAAAAATTGCCACTTCCCTTAACTCTTGCATCTTTGTCTGTTTCTGTTTTGGGGAAAGGTGATTTTAACACAGCAATAACAAGAAAAAGATAAACAACAGCCAGTTACTAAGATACATATATATATATAAAAGAACACATGTGCACACTTGGCAAAAATGTAAATTAGGATAGCCTTTTTTAAAAACAGTATAGATATTCCTCACAAAACTAAAAAAAAACAGAATTAC